CTCCTTCAGAGTCCTCTTCCTCACGTCTTCATCACCTCATCCCTAATAACTGTGCCACAGTGCGACTCCTATTCCTTCCCTCCAACTTAGTTCTGGTTAGTGTTAAACTTAACTATTAACTATCAAAAAAAAAAAAACCCTTCATAAATCATGAATACGCGCACGGAGGATGAGTCACCTCCACCTCCTGCTCCTCCTGCGATGAAGCAGCTATTATCCTCCTCCTCTTCCAAACACAAATAACCAGAGCTGATGTACCGTGTCCTCCATAATTACACGTAATTGTCTGAGCTCAGCTTTACTGAAAACTGAGAGTTTAATCAGATCCAAGTGTTCGCTAACTAATTATAAAGTTCTGGACCTCCAGGTCTGTCTGGATCCAGCACGGATCCAGAACCAGCGGCGACCAAGAACTGTCTCCGACGACGGATGGGGGTCGTCACTTTCAGCTTCCGGCTTAAATTTGATCGAATTTAGTTTCATTTGAGTTTCGAAAGCTCCTGAAATACGAAAAAAAAAAGCCAAAAGATAACCGAGTCGAAAACAAGTCTGCACTCGTGCTCAAAAGCGAATCTTATTTTTCCTTTTGACTGAGTCAAAACTTCATCTGTGGCGAGTCTCAACAGCAGCCAACTGACCACTGACGCACCACTCAAGGCTCCCCCAGGGGGCCGCCGTCCACATGTTTTTTTTTTTTATCTGTCAGTGAGAGAAGAATTGTCCCGCTGGGTCTGTGTGGACCTGAGTGGGTGGATTCCACGAGGACAGTCAGAGGAGAAAAAGACGGCGGGGTGAAAAACAAGTGACCGGGAAAATTCTCACGACAGAAGCGTGTAGAGTTAAAGGAGAAGTAAAAGACTCACTGAACTAACTCAATTAAAATAAATTGGAAGAACAAAACAAAGTCAAAGTACACGAAAGATCTGGAACAGACTTACATAAAAAAATAAATGCATTTTCTCTTATTGTCCTCCATTTAACATCAAGCACTTCTGAATTCCTTCCTTTTTTTTATTATTTTTTAAATCTAGTTCCTTTAGTATCACTCGGTTTTGGAAGAGAAAATAAATAAATAAATAAGTGTAAATAATTTTAACAGTGTTCCATTTAATACTGGATAAAATATGGCTGTCAAATTGTTCATTTATGGAGTACGTAACGTTCAAGGAGAAAGCATGGCGTTTAAGTCGAACGCCATTAAAAATATATATAAACAAAAAACATTAAATGAATTACGAACACAATAAAACAACGCCCTTATTCTCACTTTCTTACTTTTTTCTTTCTTACTCACCGGAGTACAATTGGCTGCGTTGCAAAATCAAAATCCCAGCACAGCGTCCGAACTGGAAAACAGCGGGTGAGGTGGATGAGAAGGAATAAAAGCAGAACAATGTCGCCCTCTGGTGGAAAAAATAGCAAATAAAAGTTTTGAAACGGATTGGGTGAGAGTTATTCAGCCACCAGATGTCATCAGAGTCAAATATATTTCGAAAAGAGATCCTTCTCTCCACACATTAAAACATACATATTAAAAAACACTATTTATTGCTTTATAAATATATTTTAATACAATACAAAATAATTAATTTAGAACATGTTGGATATTTTTTCTGTGGCTAACTGAACAATAGAATATAAACAAAGTGATGGTTCGGTCTTATTTCTTTTTTAAGCTTTTCAGTTACTGATAAACTGACATGTAGTTAGTGCTGTAGACATACACACTCAGGGGCAGGGGGACAACATTTTCTGATCAAACGTCCAGTTTCTTGTTCACATCTCTGATGTGTCCATATGTTGAACAGAGGACCTACCCTACTCTCATCAGATGGATGCTGGGATTACCATCACAACCCCATAGAAGAAGAAGAATCCATTTTGTTTCTGCTGCTGCTGCTGCCCCCTCTCTTCAAACCTGCAGAAGTTGTCCCACTAAGGCGAAGCTTCTCTCCCGGACGAGCGCTGAAGTGATCTCAGCGAATTTCAGGACCGACCTCCGCCAACACTCACTATCCTGGGTGACAAAGTGAGAAAGAGTTAGTGAAATAGTCCACCCGCTCCCTCGCATCAAAGTCCTTTGAGGAAATGTGTGATTAATCTCCCAGGGAAGCTGCAGTTGTTGATCGTGTGCGGCTCCAGAGTCCAATTTTTTTTTTTTTTGTGTGACATCATGGTTCCCATTTCTTGCTCAGATTGACCTCAGTGAAACCAAACTGACCACAGCAGATCCTGTGTTCTCATCAGGTGGAAGTGCAGCTCTCACCGGAGTTTGACGAGGGACGGAAAACAACACATTTTATAACACAAAACTAAGTCTTTCCATTTCATCTTCCAGGCACATTTGTTTCTGTGCTGCAGCTGATAAGTTCATTATACAAAGTCCTTTCATCACGTTGCCTTTGAGGCCTGCTGCAAGATTAACGTCTAAAATTTTCAAAAAAAAAAAAAAAAAAAAAAAGATAAATAACTTTTTGTGCCGAGGAACGAGCGAAGCTTAGATCACAAATGTCTGTGAGGAACAAACACAAGTCTTCTGCACATCAGTTTCTCTGAAAGACGGAAAACAGAGCGTTCTCAGGCGTCATCGGGAAACGACATCAAAGGACGACGCTGCGATGCCCGAGGAACAAATCAGAGGAGCGGGGGGGGGAGAGAAAAAGGAAACATTAAACATGCACTGTGCAGGCGGTTTGTGGAAGAAGAAAGTGATACAGAGGAAGAAGAGAGGAACCAGAAAAATAAGAAGGACCACAGCAGAAGGAGCTTTTGTCTTCACGTGTGGTTTCACTTCGTGAAGATCTGTCCAACATGGTGCCGCTTAAATCTCAAAGAACAGCTTTCAAGCTTCACAGGAGATGACATTAAAGGGGGAATGCTTAAGAGTTTTTGAAGTGTGGTTATGTGAGATGCTGACGCATGATCAGTAACACGCCCCCTACTGGCCTCCCCTGTGCTGAAAACCACCGAAAGGGCAACATGGCTACCACTGGGGACAGAAAAAGTAGTAGTAAAAAAAACCTTAATCTCCTCCACCTTTAGAATTGTTTTGCTATTTTTATTTTAATAACACACAAGAGATCAATCTATGTCTGTCCATAACATGTCCAGCTTGACATATTCCATTGGAATCCTTACGCCGTCCCTGGCACCTCACTGCCCCCCGGCCTCCCAGGGGGGCCCGCCCCACTGTTTGAGAAGTCTCTCTCCAACAAATTAGAAGTTTGACTGAAAGCTATTAGGACTTTACTGTTGACTTTTCAATGACGAAAATTCAAATAAAAACATCTTTGTTTCTTATTAGCAGTAGTAGTAAGTTGAGGTTAAAGTAAAAAGTTCACATGAAAGTTCATGTAAAAAGTGGGAATTTCTCAATCTGATATGGGTCAAATTTCAGGATCGGAAATATAAAAAAAAAAAAAAAAAACCCTATAGCCCATCTGATCCGATACCTAAGCCCAAATGCTAACTTTGCGCTACATACAGTTCATGTAAACAAGGGCAGCCAGAAGAAGATAGCAGATTGATATCAACATCTGCAGATACTCCAAGTTGCAGTATGGGTATCGGACAAGAAAAAAAGTTGTATCAATAGTGAGATTAGCAAAGTAAAACACTTGAGTCGAAATGTACTACGTTAAATTACCCATTTCCGAAACTGTCAAAAATTTGAAATGTCTCACAAAAACTACTCAATTACAGTAACATGAGTAAATGTAAGTTATAACTTTGTGAATCTCTGTTTCCGAATCTTTTTCATTGCAAGTCCACCAAGGATTTTTTTGGTCCGGCAATATTTGTACGTTTGCTCAACACAGTTTTTCTCACGTACTTGTAGTTATGGTCGATGCCAAGACGTGTGTTTAAACCTCAGACAACCCCGCCTGAAATACACCGACTGTCCCTTTAACTCCCCCCCCTGTGTTTGAGACAAACAGCACCAACAGATAAATTTCACGTTGGAAGCGGAGGAGGAGGAGGCTGCGATCCCTCCTCCATCAGTCAGACTAATCCTCCTGCGGTTTTCAACTCAAAGCTTTGGTTTCACTGTCGTTTCAGGTTTTTATCTCATGTTAATCCAAACCTCTCTTCTCTTCTGTGAGAAAAACTCTGCCGTGAGCACTCTCCCTAACTGGTTTCTCCATTTCTGTCCCGTACGTGACTCAACACTGGGACAGAGGCGGTGGAAAACCCTCTCTCCGTCAACACTGGAGGACAAGTAGCCATCTCCATCATCGTCGTCTGATGATGTGAGGACATGTAAATCTACTGTTCACCATCTGCTTTTCTCTGCATTTCATGTACGTGATTCTTAAATGTTCAACAGTGATGCCTTTTCATGGCTCGGGTGGATATTTTTAGTTTTAGGTTTTCATAACAAAGGATCAGGTGAGCGTTTAGCTGAGGTCCTGGATCACTTCTGCTGTATTTGGACGGAAAAGTAGCTGTTCCTAAATCATTTCAAGCCTTGTGCTCCTCTCTTCACTTGAAGCTGCGCTGAGAGACACATTGTATTGATTAGGGCTGTCAATCCTGTCCTCAAATCAGATTCAAAATCCGAATGCTACTTATGTTAAATATTCAAATTATATTGTAGTTGATTATAGACACCTACGCCAGCTAATCATTACACCCCACGTCCACGAGAAGACAATATGAAACGTCATGAAGGAAAATTATTATAAGGCCAGATAAATACTTTTATATTATATATATTTATATATAATTATGCTAATATATAATTATCACATTATTATCGCGTTGAGTTGAGGTGAGATGAGGTGGGAGGCTAAACCAAGGTTTCTGAGTAAGACTACAGTATTTTACTCGCATTATTTCTGATTATACTGACTGATAACAACTACCAGACAACAAATGCACAATGAAGAAGGAAAAAAAAAACATATATAAGAAGTTCCGCAGTATAAGTCGCACCAGCTAGCTAGAGTGGCCTCTAGTGGCTGTCGGTGTGAAAATAATGAACATGTACATTTTCAGTGGTACAGGAGTAGCAGATACTGGGACACAAGCCTACAGTGCCCTCTAGTGGCTGGCAGGGGAAAAGTAACAAACGTGAAATTATATCTTTTAATATATAAGTCGCAACTGAGTATAAGTCGCAAACCCAGTCAAAGGATGAAAAAAAGTGTAACTTATAGTTTGGAAAATATGGTAAATGTTAAATCTGTCTATAGGAAACATACAAGTCTTTACCCTAAGTTTAACACAGGAGCTGACTAGACTAAATAATAATAAAAAAAAAGAACACGCCTCTGAACTCTCTCCATCTGTGACTGGTATTTTTCCCCTGACACTCCTTCATATGTGGTTTGCTGAAAGAGTAATCTGTCAGGAGAAACCGTAAAACAAGGATTAGATGTGTCAGTGATGAATTAGGCCAGAGTTTCTGCCTTCACTGAGGAAATAGAGAAAAAGAAACAATGTTGGGGTAAAGATGTTGCTTTTACATTAGTGGAGAATAGACCAGTAGACCTGCTCTCTATACTGATGATAGAGATGGATAGATACTGTAGATAGATAGATAGATAGATGGACAGACGGACGGATGGACAGATGGTTGAATGGACAGATAGATAGACAGATGGATGGACGGATGGATGGATGGATAGATGGAAGGATAGATAGATGGATAGATGGATGGATGGATAGATAGATAGACAGATAGACAGATAGATAGATGGACGGACGGACGGACGGACGGACAGACAGACAGACAGACAGACGGATAGAGGGATGGATGGATGGATGGATAGATGGATAGATGGATAGATGGAT